GACGTTTGAGATTATTGGCGGTTTCGAGGTACCAATAAATTTAAAAGGGGCGCAGTAAATGTTTTGCGGCTATAATAAAGTTTAAGGGTATAAGGGTAAAAGACCTTTACTTAATAAATGAGTCACCCGTTTCCTCAAAATTGTCTAAGTCCATAACCTTCTGTGAGAAATAGAGAGGGTTTCTGTTGGTGAGGAGTTCTGGTAGGAATAGAGGTTCTCTGTTCGAAATGGAGAACAGAAGGGGTTTTGTAACAGAAATCCTGTAACAGAGATTCTGTAACAGAAGGTCTTTCTTTCAATCGTCTCTGGGCATTTCATCCATCATTCCCAGTTCTTCTCTCAGCTTATTAAACATTGCCTCAGGTAAAGGCTTGGTTAGAATATCTGCAAGCTGGTCTTCTGTTGACACATGCTCCATGCATATGTGCTACTTTTCAGCATGATCTCTGATGAAGTGATGTCTGATCTCAATGTGTTAAGTCCTGGAGTGAAGGACTGGATTCTGAGTGATTGCAATGGCACTTAGGCATGGCAATGGGTCAGGGCGGGGCGGGTACTGCAAGACCCAGACCCGCCCCGTGACTTGGCGGGGTGGGTCCACCGCCCCGTGACCTGCACGGGTCCAAACTTTTTGACCCATGACCCGCCCCATGCAGGGCGGGTCCGCCCCACCGTAACCTAATTAGCTAGTATGTATTTTTATTTGTGGCAAGTTGTTACCAATTGAATCTACACAATGTTTATCTCTAAATAATAATTAAAAATTAATATATTAAATCAAATTCATGATACCCTAAAAATTTCAAAAATTAAGGAAAATTACTCAAACTTGAATAGTTAATCTATTAAATTATACTAATAATTGAACATATGTATTTTTTTTACCCCGGAAGATAAACCACCAAAATCAGTGGGGCAAATGCCGGAGGAATATTTGCCAAATTTATTAAATCAAGCAGAGATTACACAATGATGGGGACAAGACCAAACCTCAAATACAAAAAGTACAAAAGAAATCAAACCAACAATCTAATAGATGGAAGCCCAAAGAAATCCATATTTAGAGCCCGTTTAGCCTTGATAGGGAGACTACCCATGTTCCTAAAAATCTCCAATTGGGCCGCTCCATCCGAAGCCAATATAAGAGAGACCCAATTACCCTCGCACAATGTGTGAACAAAGGAAACCGAAGCCTTGTCGGTAAACAACATGCTTTCCTGAATCTCCTTCCGCCATTTTCGCCCATCTGGATCCAACAGGTATGAAATCGCCAACTTCGCATCAGTTTCCACCTGAAAATTGTTGTAACCCTCTTTAATTGCCCAGCCAACCGCGAACAGTATGGATTTAACTTCCGCCTCAAGAGGAGATGAAGCGAGAAGAGGAAATCGAAGGGCGAACGACATCTTCCCCTGAGTATTCCTCATAACAGCACCACCAGCAACCCGATGAGGTAAGAAAGATGCATCTGTATTCAATTTCAAACCCATCTTTGGCTTAATCCATTTGATAAGCAAGAACCAATTGCGATGAAGCTTGAAATTGTTTGGAATGATTTTTTCTTCAAAAAGAACAGAACCAATCGAAGTAACCTTTAGATTTGACATAGTGTATGACCATTGCTGAGTGTTGATTTTTATCTGTTGAATCAACTGTTCAGGGGTAGGGGGTTTATTTTCATCACCCCAAATTATGCTCGAATAGACCTTCCAAATGTGCCAACAAATAATTCCTGGAAGAATATTTTTAAACACATCTTCTAGCTTCTTACTTCCAGCTTTGAGCCACCAGCACATAAGAATATGTCTTATAGAAACATTACCAGTAGGTATTTTAATCCTAAAAATGCCCATAAAGTAATGTCAAATATAATAAGAGAAATGACACTGAAAGAATAGATGATTAACAGAGTCCTCCTGACTCCTACAAATAAGACATATAGAAGGATTGAGAACAGTATGAAATCTGCACAAATTATTAGTTATGGGTAGCATATCATGAAACAGTTTCCACAGAAAAATCTACACTTTAAGCTGCTGCTTTGGATGCCAGATGGATTTAAAAGTAAGTAAGCTACCTTTCCCCTCTTTGATGTAGTTATATGTAGACTGAAAGCTAAATTTACCATTGTCCTCAAGCTCCCAGATATCATCCCCTTCTGAATTAGTGTAGGAAACCGTAAGTCCCAAGGAATTAGCTGAACATATCTTCCTCCAAATAGCTGAATCTGTAATTTTAGGTGGTAAACTTGCATCCCTTTGATATCTAGATTTGATAAAGTTTGTCCAGTGGGAACTACCAGCTTTCCATTTCCACCGCAACTTAAGAGTAAAAGCTTTCTCTAGGTCAGTCAAAGATCCGATTCCTAAACCCCCTTCTGTAATAGAAACACATAGATGTTTCCATCTCTTCCAATGATATTTAGGCTTTTGATTAGAAGATCCCCAGAAGAAATTTGACATTTTACTCTCAAGTATTCTCTTAACTTTTCTGGGCAGGTTATCAGCAGCTAAAGTGTGTAGAGGTATAGAGTTCAAGACATGTTTGATCAAAATCAGCCTACCACTCTGAGATAAGTTTTTCTGTCTCCAAGGAGTTAATTTGCTTTCAAATTGTTTGATAATATGATCACAGAATTTATATCTATTGATACCTTTATGTAAACTCACTCCCAGGTACTTCATAAGTAAGGAAGCAAGCTTCATACCAAGCAGATTTTTTATGGAGTTCTTCCTATTTTCAGCATCTTTCCCACAGATGACTGAGCTCTTTTCTAAATTGACTGTCTGACCAGATGCAGACTGGTAAGTTTCAATGAAACCTTTAAATTTAGCAAGGGATCTTATGTCACCATTCAAAAAAATAAGTAGATCATCGGCAAGGGATCTTATGTTCAGGCCGGGCCCGGTTCGGGCCTTGAATCGGCCGGGCCTCGGTTCAAGGTATGGGAGGCCCGGAATCGGCCCGGGTAACCCCCGGGTTCGGGCCTCGGTTATATTTTTTTTTTGGGCTTTTCCTATTTAACCCACAACCCTCCCCCTCACCCCCAAACCAACCCTAACCACCTCAAATGACCCAAAATACCCAGCCCAACCCAAAAACTTAAAAAAATTCAAAAAAAAATGGCCCGGCCCGGGCCCGAACCGGCTGGGCCAGTTCACCTTTTGAAGGGCCCGAGCCCGAACCGAGAATCCACCGGGCCGGGTGGCCCGAACCGGCCAACCAACCGCTTCACTGGGCCGGTCCGGTTCCGGGCCGGTTGGCCCAACCCGAGTCCACCCCTAGGCAAAACCCAAATGAGTAACCGGCCAACCTTGTGTTCCAAGATAATATGGCTTAATTAAACCATTTTCAAAGTGCCAATCTAGATCTCTAGAGAATCCTTCAGATGCAATGATAAATAGATAAGGGGAGAGGGGATCTCCCTGCTTAACCCCTCTGAGAGGTTTAAAAAAGCCTTTAGGATTCCCATTAATTAAAATGGATAAATTTAGCTAAACACTTAACATGGACACATCACATAACAATAACGTAAGTGCACTAATTGTTGATGCAAATCTACAAATCTACAAAAACTATGTTAAGCAACACTTACGATTATGCAATAATATGTAAAAGTGCAAGAGGAAACAAATATGACTGCATTGAAATCAACAACCAACTATGGAATATCTATGTAATTGTCTAGTGTAAAACAAATTAACATAAACACTATAACAACAATGATGCACCATTTTATATTACATAAAATAGTATATGCATCATAATAAGCACTTCGATCGGTGCAAGTAAAATAATTAGTGAAAAAAGAAATTCAAAAATCATTATCAATCAAAATGAATAAGTTTTCGAAAACAATAGATATTAGAACCGTATGCAAAAAGAAATAATTAAAAACTGAATTTATTACTCAAGAATATAATCCATAGGAAGGAGATGACTCAAGTGGAAAAGAAATAATTATGTATGGTGAAAGCCAGGAGAGAAAAGAAACTTACACTGTAGTAGACATAAGAAACTAATAAATCATTATAAATTATTGGAGATATTTTAGGAAAGAGAGGAGCCATAATGATAGGGACTTTAAGATGGAAAAGAAGATAGAATGACCCATCTAGCCTCTAGGAGGAATAGTCACACGTAGGAATTAGGAGATGATCCAATGATCACTATTTATTCTTATTTCTCTCCTAAGATTATATTCTCACATGAACCTAAATCTATATATATATATATATATATATATATATATATATATGTATATATATATATATGTATATATATATATATGTATATATATATGTATATATGTATATATGTATATATGTATATATATGTATATATGTATATATGTATATATGTATATATGTATATATGTATATATATATATATATGTATATATATATAGGGAAGAGTTCAAATAAAAAGACCTCTTCCCGTGCAAAGTGCGAAGATATGCACTTTTGCATGTTTCGCTTGCACTTTTGCGTGTTTCTGTTGCACTTTTTTGCGATAACGAAAAAGTGCAACATATTTACGAAATTGCCACCGCAATTTTGGTCAAATTTTGTGTATTTTGGCTCATTTTGAGCCATTAGATGAAACCTATATATATATGTGTGTGTGTGTGTGTGTGTGTGTGTGTGTGTGTGTGTGTGTGTGTGTAAACACCTTTTCAAAAACTGACAATCACTCCCATAGTATAACTAAATGAGTTCTTTTAAGCTTCTATCAGGCACCCATGTAACTTTTTTTAAAACCAAATCTGCTACCTAGCATTTGGTAACAAAACAGGCAAATAAGATTTACATTTGAACTAATATTTGCCACTTCTACATATTGAAAGACCAGAAGTAGAATAAGTTGGATCAGATGAACATAAGCACGTATCAAGTATTAAGGGATCCAACTTAAACTGTGCAATAAGGCTGTGAGTATACGTTACAATATACATACTGTAACGAAACAAGAATCAACCGTAATTGACAAGAAACAATGGTTAGTGAAATATTAACAAGTTGAAAAGGGCTTGAAATTAGATAGGTTGAGGGGGGGGGGGTTGATTGACCATTTGGTTGTTTAAAAACCACACTGGTTTTAGTCTATGGACACATCCAGAAATAAACGACAGAGCAGATGATAGAATAAAAAAGATGAGGAAAAAATTTACCAGAGTTTAGTCCAACGCCATTATAAGACTAAGAATATGATGCAAAATTTGAACTATAAAATTCTTCACTGAGGTCAGCAGCATACAACAAGTTATAACTATGCCTATTGTAGAAACGTTTCTCCAACAGATTTTTGATGCAACAGCCCAGGTGAGATGAATGCATTTACTGTCCAACGTTGCGAGCTTGTAATCTCTTCCTCTCAAATTCAAGCTAATTTTGCAGCAAATTAAAAAAAACTGTCATAATCTAGTATCCATACCTAAGGGAAGAATTAGGAATTTAGTCAAAGTTTCTTACCACTTTCCGCACCCTTTCATTAGCAGCAGGTGTGCCACCCTTCACCGACTCAGGAAGGTAGGGACTGCTAACACGGACCTCATCCATCACAACTATGACTGTCTTCTCCCATCGCACTGGAAGCCTGTAAATCACCAGTACAAATTATTCATCACCATCTCATATATGTCACGCTCCCTGAATTTGATTCAAAAAGGCTGTTACTCTGACAGTCTTTTAGGAATCTGCTGGACTTTTGTAAGGTTGTTTGGCTGAAATGCATCAATCTGCTTATTTTTCTGAACTTCACAGTATTTGGTAACATCCATTTCAGCCGAATAAGTAATAAGTCAAAAGCTACTTATGTTGCGTATTACATAGTATTTTGATAAGTACAATAAGCCAACTACGGCTACCAATGGTACTTACGTATCATAGTACCGAGACAAATCATTTATGCTAGTACAAAAAATAGTTGACAAGATATTACTGAGTGATGACTCTAAACTTCATAACTGGAATTGATATATATATTTGTGTTTGTGTGTCTTCCCTATAGGATCAATCTATTTTATAACTCCATTTTTTTAAGTTAGTCGTTCCATAACTGAGACTTCATAGCTTTACTTTTAAAAAAGAAAATGAAAACATTTTATCTTTTCCTCTCAAAATGGCAACATCCTTCTAACCCCACTTCATATCATTTGTTCCCTATAGGAGCAACCAAGTTACAACAAATTCAACAACACATTAATCATCTAAGAATTGCATTTGTCCAGGATTACGTGCCAAAGTTTAAAAAAACAGATTTTAAGACTTGGAGGATTTTGTTTGTATGAGGTGCATTTGTCCAGGACTCATAACAAAGTTTAAAATGAGGTTTCAAAACTTGGGGAATTTTGTACATGTGAGGTGAGATGTAAGCCTCAAACTTCATAGGCTAGCAATTTTTTTTTAAATCAAACAAGTCATAAAATAAATAATTAGATACTCCAAGCTACCAAACAAGGTTCTAAAAAGTTTTCAAAGACAGGTTCACAGGTAAAATGTAACTGCTGACCAACAAATTCACTGGAGCGATGTTATATTGATTTTTCATAACTTCATACAACTGCACTTTTACTTTCTTCTTCTCAGTTCTCATCTTTAGTTAGACGAACAAAGAGATTAACTAATTCAATACTAAAGTGGTACTAAACATTATATTATAAGAGGTAACAAAACAAGATTTAGAGAAGAAGAAAAGAATAGGAGATTCAGAGATTAGAAAAAAACTAGAACCAGAGAAGAATAAAAGAAATTCAGGGGAGACAGAGAACATTCAGAACAGTGACTCTGCAGATGAAACAGAAAAAGCAAAAAAACTTATAAGTTATAGCCTCATGGCTTAGTGTGTGAAGCTTGCGTGAATGAGAGAAGTCGGTTAAAATACTAAATTCAGCTTGATTGGGCTGTGAAGAATGCATAAAACTATAATATGAAGGATGTTGCATATTCAAACAAGAACAGCTGCTTGTAGCTATCTCAGGTCTTAGGCACTGCTATGAGAATATTCACAATTGCATTGTAAGCCACATTGCTACTGATTTGTTGAATCAATGAAAGGATCTTTATTTAAAAAAAAGAATAACAAGCCCAATAAGACCAATATAAGTCTTAAGAAATATGAGGCTTGAGCATAAAAAAGACCTTGACGCTTATGAGGCTCATTCCTCAGAATCGTAAGCCTCACAGCGTGGAACAGTGGGATTCATACCTCTCCAATGAGACGAGCCTCACAAATTCCTTTTAAAATATAAATAAAATATAAAAACTGGCCTGATTAATTATTTTTCAAACAAGTTACTGTACGTTGTGGTACACCTCAAATTCTCAATAGAGAGAGCCAAGTGATATCAGTCACAATTCAAGTTATTCATGGCTTCAATGTTCAGTTTAATTTGTAAGCATTTAATGCACTCTCAAAGCAGTGGCAGTCTTACATGCACCTATTGGCTTGACTCCATGCTGTAAAAATCAGTCTAGGCATTAGGCACCTCTAAACAAAAGGTAAATCTTGAAAGTCGGTCTTCATAGATGCTTGGCCAACTATGCCTATTTAGTATTTTTAATAGGGTATTTGAAAGGAGAAATAAAGGGGCTGGGGGTCAGTTTAGGAATTACTTTAGCTATTTTAGTCCCTGCGTGGACTTAATGCTATAAATAGGAAAGGGGAGTAGCGTATTAGGGGAGACTGTTATTTTAGAATCAAGTGTTGCCTTGTTGCCTAAGAAGTCCCCGTTGCCTTTGTTGCCTACGTTGAGATATTTCCTAGCAATAAACATCATCTTCCCTATCATTTTATCAGATCTGTGTTGCTTGTTACTGTTTGTGCTAAGATTATTACCAGGTTCCTATCAATGGTATCAGAGCAATCGCTCCTGGGGATCGCAGGTGAAGTGCGACTGCAGTAGAGTTCTCATTTCTGCATCGTTTCTCGTTTCAGAATCGTTGTGAGGTAGCGACTGCAACCTAGTTTTTTTTTCTGAAGTGGATGGTAAAAAAGAGATCCAAAATGGAACAACGCATGGAAGCCTTTGAGCGGGAGATGAGAGCTACCATCGTGAATCTCACTGTTGCGATGAATGAGCAAATCCAGAACAGCATCGCTACATCCATGGCAGCTTATCAGAACAGGAGGGACCCGTCCAGAGGGAGATCGCGATCACCGCATCACCGTTCCCCTCATCACCGTCGATCACGATCACCACATCACCACCTATCGCGATCACCGCACAGCCCAGAGTACTCGAGAGGTAATTCTGTACACTCTCCCATCCCTGCTCGCAGAGTCCATACTGGCCGGAAGGTGGATCTGCCATTGTTTAATGGAGTAGGCGCCTATAACTGGTTAGTAAGAATGTAGCGCTACTTTAGATTGAATAAAACAGAGGAGGAAGACAAGGTTGAGGTTTCAATGGTGGCTATGGATGATAGGGCCTTGAATTGGTTTCAGTGGTGGGAACAACAGGCCGAGGAGATAACTTGGGAAAATCTGAAGGATGCGGTTATCCGTAGGTTCCAACCCGACTTATTGCAGAATCCCTATGGAGCCATGTTGAGCCTGAAACAGACTGGAACTGTGGAGGACTATCGGGATGAGTTTGAGAAGGTAATAGCTACACAGAAGAACATAGACAGGGGTATGCTGAGAGGCATTTTTATCAATGGCCTCAAGGAAATCAAGGCTGAACTGAAACTCTTCAATGGCAAATCTCTAGCTGCTACCATGGACAGGGCCCAAGCGATTGAGAAGAAAAATGATGCTATTTACACTAAGGGTAAAACTACAGAGAAACTGGAAGGAAGGGACAAGGGATCCATGAACTATAGACAACCTGTCTGGGGTGAGGGATACACGCCAAAAGCTGGAAGTTCAGGATCCCATACTGGTGGTAGAAAGAATTCAGGACAGCAGGGCACTCAACCTTGGTTTACTCCCGATGGGAAGATGGAAACTGAAATAAATTCCCCAGACATAAGAAGAGTAGGGCCACAGCTGACACAAGAAGAATACCAAGATAGAAGCCGGAAGGGACTTTGCTTCAAATGTGGTGAAAGATGGGGAAGAGGGCACTCTTGCAAAATGAAGAATTACAAACTGATTTTAGTGGAGGATTCCGAGGGAGAAGAGGAAATAGTTAACCCAGAAGGGGTAATCCCTGAAGAAGAAAAGATCACCATGGAATTTAAGTCCATGCAATTGTCCTTCATGAACCAGGACGGAAAACCCTCTACGAGGGCTTTTAGGGTGCAGGGGATTCTGAAATGGGCTAAGGGAGAGAAGCTAGTGGATGTTCTAATTGATAGTGGAGCCTCACACAACTTCATATCCCAGAAAGTGGTAGAGCAGTTAACCCTCCCTTATCAGACCATTGCTGGCTACCAAGTGCAGCTTGGGAATGGTGAGAGGGTCTTCAACAAGGGCAGGTGAGAAAAACTCATTCTGAGCTTGCAGGGAACTGTCATTCAACAAGATTTCTACATGCTGGAGTTGGAGGGAGCTGACTTGGATCTTGGCATGGATTGGTTGACTGGATTGGGGGATGTGAAGATTAACTTTCAGAAACAGAGCATAAAGTGGCATCATCTGGGGATAAGTCAGACAATTCAAGGGGATCCTAAGTCAAACTCTATGGAGGTATCTCTGAAGACCACGTCACAAACTGTACAGGAGAATGGTGTGGGCTATCTTATCTACTGGGAAGGCAGAAAAGGGGATGGAGAGGGAATTCAGCTGAAGGATTCCAATTTGGAAGGAATTGAGGGGAAGAGGAAAATTGATTACACAGTTGAAGTTGGTATGGGAGTTCTTATAAGGGTTCAAACTGGTTTGTTCCTGGATCCATTTAGAGCTGCAACGCCTCATAGCAGGACTGCCTTAGAACCCTTACATGAAGAGGTTGGTTACAAGGAGAGGCTTCAAGTATAATTCCAGGGAATTTTTATACCCAGTTTATGCCCCTGTTGGCTGTGGAAAATGTGATGATGAAAGTGAAAGAAATGAAGCTCCTAGAGCAGAAAACCAAGAGGTACTGGGAAGGGAGAGGTTCCAGGATGAAGAGGAAGTTCAAGATCAAGGCTGTGTCTTATTACCCACCTTGAGGGCAAGGTGGTTATTTAGGGGGGGAGTAATGTTAGGAATCTGCCTATTTAGTATTTTTAATAGGGTATTTGAAAGGAGAAATAAAGGGGCTGGGGGTCAGTTTAGGAATTACTTTAGCTATTTTAGTCCCTGCGTGGACTTAATGCTATAAATAGGAAAGGGGAGTAGCGTAATAGGGGAGACTGTTATTTTAGAATCAAGTGTCGCCTTGTTGCCTAAGAAGTCCCCGTTGCCTTTGTTGCCTACGTTGAGATATTTCCTAGCAAAAAACATCATCTTCCCTATCATTTTATCAGATCTGTGTTGCTTGTTACTGTTTGTGCTCAGATTATTACCAGGTTCCTATCACCGGCCCACAAGGCATTGTTTTAGGTGTTGCTTTTCACATTATTATTTTTGGTCAGAAGTTATTCTTTTTTAATCACACCAAACCAGAAAGATCAAACCAGACTGAACAAGAACTGTTCAGGCTAGAAGAGATGAGACAAAAAAGAAGATTTGGATCAGGCCAGATGACATATTTAGACCAGAAACTTAAGCAAGATCAGAAACATTAAGACCATACCAGGTCTAAAACGATTAAAACAAATCGCTATTTTAGGCGAAGAAAACTGGTCATTAATGATCACTTTTTACTGCTACTTTAATAAGCATAATAGACATGAGTGAATAATCTCATTGTTGTAAAAATCCCCTCTAAGACCAGATTAATCATCACCTGCGTTTTTCCCTTCTGAACCCAGCCTAATTCCAATTTCAGAGCAGATTTAGTGAAGTGGTAGATATACAGTAAGTACTCAATTCTTAATTGTGACCGTTGAAGCTAAGAGAATCTTTGTGATTGCATGTACAAGAAAAACAAATATCCTTCAGTATTATTAGCCATCTTTTGTAAAAGGTGTCACATTACATGTTTAACACTGAATTACTTAAGCATATTGCATCATGATGAACATTGCACATAGTCTAAGAAAGACATAAATACATGTTCAAAATAGCTTATTAGAAGTTTTATGCTTCTGCAATTAAGACAGATGGAATCAAGAAGGCTACTTGGTTAACATTACAATTGTTTTCACGACGGATCTAATCCTGAAACACACAGCTATTACTCACTACCCCACTAAAACTAATAACTTTGTCATCTTAAAAACTGAAAACACATCAGAATAATAAGAATGTAATATGTTCATTGAAAGAAAAATGCAACACCAGTTCAAGGTTACGCAAAAATCCCATTTTCGCAAAAATAAATTGCAAAGAATTTCATAGTATAGGCAGGAACTGGAAAGTAAAGGAAAGGTGCATCACGTTTTAGCCAAAGCATCAAATATGCTCTGAGCCTCGGGTGTGACACCAACTCCAAATCTCTCTGCATCCAATTCTGCTTGTCTGCACAACAAAATCCAACCCCAATCCATCAGAATGATGGCATCCAGAATTATTTATGAAGGAAGCTGGAATGGAAGTAAACTCCACATGAATAGTTTAAATAAAAAAAACCTAATAGCAGAATCTTCTCTGAATTTAAGAGTTTCTAGATCGAGAAAACACTTGCTGGCGTCAAGCGGATCTTCTCCTTGACCCAAGAGAGCGAACTCCTTGATATAGTTGGCTTTCAATAACCTTATATTCATCTTGGTCCCTGCCACTGAATTCGTTCCTTCTTGTACTTCAATATCAAAGTCAAAGAAATCAAATAAAAACGTGACACGAAAAACACTATACTCCACTCGCATTAAGAATAACGCAATAGAAAAAATAGAATAGATCAAAGGCTGCTTCACTAGAAGTGAGAATAATGCTATTGAAAAATGAAACAGATCAAAGGTTGATTAATAAAGGATATGAATAACAAGGATGTTTGAGGGGCGGTCGAAGGTGATAACTTTTCCTTGGAACTCTTCACCGAAAGTTGTTTTAATGGAGAGTATGCACCCAACGGCGAAATCTTCGTTGCCATGAGCTTCCATGGACGCCCCACTCCTCACGATTCGCTCTTTTGCTTACCAGGTCTTCTTTATCTTTAGAAGAAAGCTCAAACCTGCCATTGTCCAAACATATCACTGGGCATTGAAAGTGGAAAATGGATAAAGAGATTATAGAATAAACCCTCAAACTTTCACAAAAATGGTAAATAAGTCCTTTTACGGTATATTCTGTCCAGCCGTCACAGTTTGGGTGGCTTTCGGTGGAATTTTTGATTAATTTTTTTGAGTATATTCTTCATAAAGTCTAGTTTATTCATACCAAATTTCATCTAAAAATTCAATAGGGAAAAGCAGTCAAATGAATTTTTGAGGATAACTGTGCAGTTAGACAGCGCAATATATTTCAGAAAATCATTTGATTGCCTTTTCTATTGAATTTTTAGCTGAAATTTGGTATGGGTAACTAGACTTAATGAAGAAATGCTCAAAAAAAATCTTAAAAAAATTCCACCGAAAATCGCCCCAAATAGCGACAACCGGACAAAGCCTCTTGTAAAAGGGCTTATATGCACTTTTTTTGAAAGTTCGAGAGCTTATTTGATAGTTCTCCCAATCGATAAATAAATAATGCTCTCCACTTCTTAGCAATTAAATTGAAATCATATCGAAAAAATGGCCCAATTACGCTGGTTTTATATATGTGATTAATTAATTAAGAAAAAATTGATTGTAATAATCCCAATTATTGGCGGTCCGCTTATAATAATCTCAACTATTGATTATCTCAGAATAATCCCAACTTTAGTGACCTTCCGCCAATAATGGTCCATGACCAGATATGACCTGCTATAAAAAGTGAATTTTAAATAGAAATAAAGCATAAGAATTAAAAGTTGAATTATTTATAGGGATTACTTGTTATATCTCTTCTCATTCACTTTAGAAACTATAAGAATTTATTTATAGCCGGTCATGTCGGACCATTATTGGCGGAAGGTCGCTAAAATTGGGATTATTCTGAGATAATCGATAGTTAGGATTATTACAAGCGGACCGCCAATAATTGGGATTATTACAATCAATTTTTCCATTAATTAATTAAAGGTGATTTTACCCGGAGATTCAAATTACTATTACAGTCACTAATTTAATTATTAATAAAATATCTTACTACGTATTAAAACGATTAATCTTTACTATTAATACAATCCATTATCACCGCAAATTTATAATAATCCTATACACTTCGTTTATAAGAACTACAATTTATATTCATATTAATAATTTAAGCCTCCAAAATATATACGGAGTAACACATAACATATATATTAGCATTAATATGTAGATATAGTTTTTATTGATTCTGACCGAAAGAAATAATTCTATTCACCTCATATGTGTATTTACCACTAAATCTCTTAGTTACTTCTTCAATCAACAAATATAATATTGAAAAGTTTACAGAAGTTATTGTGATGAAAAAATCACTTATGTAGTATCTATTGAATATGGGAAGATTGTTGACTCTATTTAAATAATGTACTTTATGACTAAACTTACAAACTACATATTTTTAATATTTCCCTTATGATTCTTAATTCTTATGATTGTAAATAGTAATTTGGTGACCGCAAATATTACCTTTAATTAATGAGGGTATTTTATTCATAGCCCCACAACTTGCCAGTTCGTATATAGTGCATGGTGTACGTACACCCGGTCCAAGTAAGAAAGACGGCTCAAACACTAATACAGGCCAAAAAAAATCGGTGACATATTTGTAATTTAAGCGAAAATTCACGGCTTCCGCTAAATGAGCAATATTGTACGTTTAGTGAGCATCCAACCTATTTTATTGAGTATTACGAGGCTAACAATGAGTAACACGATCTCAACTTCATATCTTCTAATTTTTGTTCTTTTTCTTATTTTTTCTTTTATAAAAACTTATTAAATTATATCTATAATACACTCTTATGAATTTCAATATGTGAATTTAGTGTAATATGATACTTTTGAAATATGCATTGATATGACATTTTAAAATGAGCATAACATCAATACGAAATGAGCATACGTAACTTACAAAATGTTAATTGATATGAAAATCGTAAAGTTTGTTAGTTTGACATAACGACACTTTCATTGAGCATCAAACCTTCTCTATTGAGATAAAAATCACAGTTTCTGTTAAATGAGCATTAATGAACTTTTAATGTGCATCAAACTTATTATGAGCATTAAAACACTTTTAATGTCATTTGAAATTGCTAATGTGCTCAAATCCTTATTTGTCTATACTCGTTTCGTTTAAACATTATGCTCATTTGGCACGTGAGAGCGATGACAAGGGTTAAATTAATTTACGAGGCCCTTCATATTAGAATTAGAATCCTAATAAAACTCCAATGCTCTAGAGGACTCTTATATAAATATAACTCATGCGGTCTACATAATCATCCTTGCACCATTGATTTCAAGACTCATAGCTACGGAGATTTCTGGAAGCAGAGTTAATAGCTGGTAACTTTTCTTCTTTACTGTTCTTTTTTTTTCTTTTGGTGCATTGCAGCGGAAATTCATTGGAAGCAGAGCTCGAGATTGATGGAGTATATGGGTCTGAGCCCCAGGACCCACATACTCGGAAGAGCAGAAAGCACAAGACAACAGAGTGGCGCCCTCGTCGGCCAAGACGCCCCCGTCGGCCGAAAAGGGGCCAACTCGGATTACGGTCCTGAGTCCCAGGAACCTGGGTGCCCTCGTCGGCCGTGCCCTCGTCGGCCATGCCCTCGTCGGCCACGAAGACCTCCCAGAATCAGATTTTATACTTACTCATTTGTACAGCCCATTAGTGGCTTTGTATTCGGCCCAGTAGCGGTCCAGTTGTAAATGGGCCTCTCAAGCCCAAGGCTTGGGAGCCCAACCCTAATTTTATCTATAAATACTCCCTTTGGGAGTAGTTATAGGGGTTACAAAATCATTCTATTGAAGCATATTACTGCACTTCTCTCTCTAGCTCTCACTTCTCTCTAGATATACTCTATCATTTGGTGCTTTCATTGAGAGCTAGAACAATCAAGTTAGCACCCTTCGTCGCTACCAAGCACAGCTAACCACTGATCATGGGGAGAACTAAGTCAAACCGCAACCTCGTTAGCAAAGTCATCCCTGAGGACCAAGAGCCCAGGGAGCACGATGAGGACGCCACGGCCGACCAGGTCGGTGAAGCGGACCTCTTCCAGGAGGCCTTCAACCTCACGACGGACCTCCGCAACCAACTCAACGGCGGAGTCCCCGACGCCCGCCCAGCCTATGGCCGCGGCCTCTCCGTCCGTAGATCCTCAGGTCCAGGTCGCACTATCGGCTATCATCGCCAGCTTGGCTCAGAACCCCACCGTCCTCAGCGCACTCTTGCCAAGGACCGGGGGGAACGTCACTCAACCTCCTCAGCACCAACCGTTGGCCATCCAGTTAGGCAACGATGAGGGGGTGGTGCCCCAGGACACGACGTCGTCCCACTCCCACCCTGTTTCCCCTCTTCGGCCCGGGCAGACCCCAGCGCGTGGTAAAGCCTCTGCCTTCAATAGGCTAGGTGACACGCGCCGTCGTCCGGTTTCGGAGAGGATGGCGGGACGGGTTGGTGATCCTCGTCCTGGATCGCCAAGGGAAAGCTTGGGGTCTGTGTCCCGGACAGCGGACCAGCCCCGCCCGGACAAGGGCAAGGGAAAGTTGCACGAGGATGACGTGCGTCACCAGATCAACGCGGCTCACAACGAGCGCATGAAGAACCAGCCGGGCGGCGCTACGGCCGCCAGGGACCCTCGGGACGAGGTCATCGCCCAGCTGGAAAGGAGGTTGGCTCAGATGAAGGCCAAGCAGTCGGCCAACATCCCTACGGCCGGCGCCTCCAACGACCCCGGCCTCAACGCGCTCATGAACAAAGTCAGCGCCCTGGAGAGGGAGCTGGCCGAAGGGCGGGGTGACCCCATCATCCAGGTCAGGACTAGGACCCCTTTCACCAACAGGGTCCTCTCGGCCCTCATCCCTGAGAAGTACAGAGGGAACGCCATCAAGTCCTACGATGGCCGATCAGACCCCCAGGAGCACTTCAGCCGCTATCAAAACAACATGCTGATGGTGAACGCGTCCGACGAATACCTCTGCCGTTGGTTCCTCTCTACTCTCGAGGGGCCAGCGTACGAGTGGTTCAACGGACTGCCGGAGGGAAGCATTGACTCATGGCAAGATCTCGCCCAGCGTTTCCTCACTCACTTTGCCGGGAGGAAGCGCGCCAAGAAGTATTTCACCCACCTCCTCTCCGTCAAACAGCAGCACGAGGAGTCCCTCCGGTCATTCATCGACCGGTGGACGAGGGAGACCGAGGAGGTCGAGGGGGCCGATGAGCGCACCCTCCTCGCCTTGTACCAGGGAGCCCTCCGCAGCTCCCCGTACGCCAGGAGCCTCATCACTGACCCCCCGAGGTCGTACGCCAAGGCGCTCCAACGCGGAGGCTTGTATGCCGACGCCGACGAGCTCCACAATCACAAGAGGGAGGGGGGCCATCCCCCCAAGAAGACAAATCCTTCGCCGGCCTCGGGTCCGTCCCCGGCCGGCCAGGGTGCCCAGGGCCGCCACGGCTCTGGTGGACAAAGTAAGAAAGACCGCCACTGGCGGCCGAGGCTGGAACGGCCGGGGGTAGCCCTCACCCACCCGGTCGGCACCATCCTCGATTATGCCGAGAAGCACGGCCTCATCGAGCAGGCTCCTCGGCCGGCCGAGGAGATCCTGGCCATCCAGCAGGGCGGCACGTACTGTCGGTTCCACAAGAACTCGTCGCACAACACTGACGATTGCATCACATTGAAGAAGGCCATCGAGCGTCTTATTCGCCAGGGGGAACTCTCCCAGTTTGTCAAAGGTGGCCCGCGTAAAAACACTTGGGTAAACACCGGCAAACGTGGGGGCGAACCCTCTGCGAAGAAGCGCGAGATTGGTAGGCTCAGCGACGACGAGGACTTCGAGGAGCCTCCGCCGAAGAAGAATCACATCCACCTCATCGTAGGCGGGAACACTGGGGGGGGGACTCCGCCACTCAGAGGAAGAAATGGGCCCA